CTTCTTCTATTATTGTATACAATTTCCTTTCACCAGTCTTTGCACTAGTATTTCACCTCTAACTTTCTCTAATCCACAGATCAAAGTTCCTGTCACAGCTCATGTCATAGCACATATCTATGTGTTGTGATGGAATCCCTCCGCATCCTCTGTCTGATCATCCTCAGTGTCCTGCTGGGCATCATAATGAAGAAAGTTTGTTAAAGTGGACCTAGAATCAGATTCATGTTTTCATGTTAAACCTGTGACAACAAGGAACAAACACTTCCGGGTATTTTTTACTGCTCACAGAGATCACAGCGCAACATAGAGACAATTAAAGGAGAACTATGAGGCAAGTGATCTTCACTCAGCCTCATAGTTCGAGCCGACCTGTGACAATGAGACTGTCACACGTCGGCTCAATAGATCGGGAAGTGAGTGAACACATACCGTCGCTCGCTCACTTCTCGATCCTGTCCCTACTTTGATATGTAACATGCCAAGCTTTAAAATTGTATGTACCCATGAAATGGCAAAAAAAAATAAAATACCCAAAATTGGCCATAGGCGACGCTTTAAAAGCTTTAACCACTCATCAGTTTAGTGTTATCAGTGATTGATGGCCCTAGAATGATTGCGCACACTCCAACAATAGCGATGGTATGTAACATGTGTGGCGCAATTCCCACATAGGTGCACCTGATTCATGTTTGACTTTGAATGTGCATGTACATGGGGGCGAGGGCAAAAAAAAATTGTTTTTTTTTATAGGTGACTAATAATTTTTCTGCTCATCTTTATTGCTATCAAATAGCCTATGACAGTCTATGACAAGGTGACAGAACAGGTGACCATAGCTTGGGGAACCCTGGATTGATTCAGTTGATCCTTTTTCATTCATCTTCTTCTATTATTGTATACAATTTCCTTTCACCAGTCTTTGCACTAGTATTTCACCTCTAACTTTCTCTAATCCACAGATCAAAGTTCCTGTCACAGCTCATGTCATAGCACATATCTATGTGTTGTGATGGAATCCCTCCGCATCCTCTGTCTGATCATCCTCAGTGTCCTGCTGGGCATCATAATGAAGAAAGTTTGTTAAAGTGGACCTAGAATCAGATTCATGTTTTCATGTTAAACCTGTGACAACAAGGAACAAACACTTCCGGGTATTTTTTACTGCTCACAGAGATCACAGCGCAACATAGAGACAATTAAAGGAGAACTATGAGGCAAGTGATCTTCACTCAGCCTCATAGTTCGAGCCGACCTGTGACAATGAGACTGTCACACGTCGGCTCAATAGATCGGGAAGTGAGTGAACACATACCGTCGCTCGCTCACTTCTCGATCCTGTCCCTACAGAGAGCTGTGACTGTCACTCACGGCTCCTTGCAGGGATTCCCCCCTCCCCGATCCTCCAGTGCTGACTGGCGAAACGGAAGGCGGAGAGGGCGGGCACAGCTGGCTCTGCCTCTAGATAGGCCGAGCCCACTGTCACTCATGAAGCTCGGTGGATCTCGACAGTAATGTCGGGATCCGTCCCGGCTGCGGCGGTCTGAGTATACCGCAAGCTGCAGCTAGCCATATACTGAGCTTTGGGTCACGGGAGGACGCTAGTTTGTGTCCTCCCGTGTCCCTTAGGAGAACTATGGGGAGAAGCACTGACCCCATAGTTCTCCTTCAAGCTGGCCATGCACGCTCAAAACCAAAACAAACCCAATCACCTGATTCCTTCATCCATGCTAGACAGTGTGGATAGATGAATCTCCCGCACTGGTTATTGTATTCTGACCCGGTGCCCACAGATGTCAGAATACCTGAACAGTAACTACAGAGTATTGTCTAAAGTCGCTGTTCAGCTGACAATTTTCCTCCCAGCTCTTTGGATTCCTCTGTCGAGTTTTTTGAGCCAAGTGGTGTCAGTAGGGTCCCCCACAGTTAGAATTTTGGTGGGTTCACAGGAAGCCTCGGTATTCTATAATGAGGAATTAGGGAGCCTGGAGGTCACACAAGCTGGTAAGGAGTTCCTAGGTAGCAGAAATTATCGTCTCTTGTAATTAATGATGTGCTGCTTATAATTAAATATGTTAAATATTTATGTTTGAGAGGGTCCTTCATGGCAACTGCCCAGGATTGGAGCGTAAAAACCTCCGGTTTTGATGCAGAAGTCAGATCCTTGGTACACCTGTCGTGTCTAAAGAATCTCCATGAATGTTAGTTTCTCCACTTTCTAAGTTTCACTTTTACTCTGTAACTCTTCTCTTCTAAACCTTCACTCTGAGCAGAGGTTGTTCATTTCCTTAATACAGTACTCTCCTTGACAATGCCTTCATCTTATCTTCTCTTGAGAAGGACAGGGCCATCTATGTTCAGCCATCATCTGGGGGTCACCATCTTCTTCCTGGACTGGATGCCAGCTCAGAGAGGACACAATAATGTAAATCCGGAGCCTGTGCAGTTCTTGGTTATGATCACAAATCTCTGACACAAATTAGCCCCTTTGTGCAACCTCACCCCTTTTTACTTGCTACAAAGTTATAGTGTTATCACTGCGGGAGGGAGACCTTTATTAGGAGGTAGAGCTCTTCCTAAAAATGATAATGTTGTATATTGTGATATGTCGGGAACATATTAATACAGACTTGTAAAGTTAGTGAAAGGTCCACTCTAATAATCTGTAGATTGTAAGCTCAAATGGGCAGGACCCTCTCTCCCATTGTCTCTTGTTATTACTCATCTATGTACTGGTGTTTGAAACAAAAAAAAACACTTGGGGGTCTATTTATAAACAATTTGCATAGCCATTCACCCTATGAATCTCTTTGAATGTTTGTTATGCAAATAGATGCAAAAACAAACATTCTTCATATATTTTCTATACAAGTCAAATGTCATTTCAAATGTAATAATGTAATACTGCATTATGGCCACTAGATGGATCTGAGGTGCATAGAAAATACAGTACTTATTTCCTATGCTCCTGAGCTCCATCTAGTGGCCATCATGTGGTATTACATTGTTACATTTGAATTTACATTCGACTTGTATAGTAAATATACAAAGAACATTTGTTTTTGCATCTATTTACACTGAATGAATGTTCACAGAGATGCACAGGGTGAATGAATTTGCTGATTGTTTATAAATAGACACCTTTGTATTACCTGTACTACCCTCCCTTGTTATTTCTGTTGCCTTGCACAACTCCACAGAAGGTGGTAGTGCTATATACATATATATTAATAAAAGAATACCTATAAATTCATGTTTCATGTATGTCTTCTGGATATGTAGTGGTTTTCTTCACTAGTAAGCAATTATATGTAAAATAAATAAATAAAGTGTGGTGTTTGTTGCCTGGTTGCTAAAAATGAGGTGTGGTATTCTGCTGGGGCTGTGCTTTTCAGGAAGAGAAATACATCAGAGAATTTTAAAAGGTACACTCCCGTCAAACATAAAAATTATGCTTTTATAGTGAAATTATATATAATATTTTAAAGTAAAATTAAAATCTCCTCTTTTTTGCATTTATCTACAGCTAGCGAGCATTAGATATATGCAAAAACATTTTTACAAAATTAAAAAAGTTAACAGAAAGGTAAAAAGTTACCTGTGTCTCTGCCGCTCCCTCCCGGCTATAGATCCAAAGCTTCTCTAACAGCCGTGCAGGAGGAGGAGAGCGGGCGCAATGCGCAGTAGAGATATTCGGCAGGGAGAAGAGGAGAGACACAGTGTAAGTCAATGCAGACAGCCGTAAGCGTGCACATCGGACAGACACCGTGGGACAAGAGGAGTCTGTGGAGGATCAGAGAACGGCACCACACTGGAGGGATTACTGAAAACAAGTGGAAGAAGATGACCAACAGACATCATTAAGGCCTGTTGGTCGCACCGCACCGGGCCGTAGGCATAATGTGCCTTGCGATCCTGTGCGGCCGATCGCATTGCGGCTGGAGGGCGTGGCTACGGTGCCATTCACTTCAATGGCCCGCCACGCCCCCTCCTGTCCCACAAAAAAGTGAGCCTGCCGCAATGTGATGCACTGCGTTCTGGCCAGAATTGGGCTGAAACACACTGCATCTGGTGTGAATGAGGCCTTAAGGTAAGTCCTGAAAGCAGCATTGGGGATGGGGGGGGGGGTGTGACACATCCTGCAGGACTCTGGATAATACTTCGTAGGGGCTGCTTAAGAAAACTGGAACTAAAGAAAGTAAAGCTAAATTAAAGTATAGCTAAACTGAAGCACAGAACTAGTAATCTGCCCTCAGTAAACATGGCCACTGTCAGAAGACGGGATAAAAAGAGAAATAAGGAATGCAAAGAAGACAAAGCCGGCAATGATCTAGAAGTATGTGTTTGTAGATTGTCATTACTAAACATTTCTAAAAGGTGTGCTTGTTGTAATTTTAAAGATATGGGTAAAGGTCCGCTTCAAGCAATTGCCTTTTTATATAAAATGTTTATTTTCATCTTTTTTCTTTTTTTTCATTGTGTGTTGCATCTCAGTTCTGCTGATCACCTCCAGCCTCTTTCAGCCACTCTCTGTCTGTTAATAAGTTGTGAGCAAAATTGAATCGGATCCTTAGGTGAAATTTGATTAAAATATATAATATTATTTTTTGTGAGGTGTATTTGTAGTATTTTAATTATTATATTTGAAATGTACTTTTTTTTTCCATTGTATGTTTTTTTTTTCATTTCTGTGAAAAAAAACAAATAAAAAAAAAAAACAGGTTAAAAAAAAAGGGTCTTCACTCAGGGGACCTTTATAAACCACCAACATAAAAATCCTTACAGAAAAAGGACTTTTCCAGGAACAACCCTGACCCAAGGAACTTTTAGTGGAAATCAGAGACTGGACTACTAAGCAAGAATGACACGCGAAATCTATTTATTTATAGAAAACAGGAAACCACCCGGACAGAAAAAAACAATACGTTGTTGCTGTGGGGAGACTTATGCAGTGCACAGGAGATGGATGTTTGGCTCCTCCTAGTACACCCGGAAGTGTCTGTTAACATGGTTCTCTGTGCACAGGAATGAAAAGAGAGTAAATCATTGTGAATATCGTTGGTTGGAGCGGACAGGAGGGTGAGTGCTGATCACAGACACATCCTGTTGAACGCTGGATAATAATTCGTAGGGGTTGCTTAAGAAACCTGGAACTAAAAGAGAATTAAAGTATATCTAAACTGAAGCACAACAATGTAATCTATCCCAGCTTACCAGTCCTTAGATGTTGTGGCTGCATTCGTTTTCAGGTTTTTGTTGCCTTTGCGTTCACCTGGTGCACCATCAAATAATACACTTCCTGTCCCAAAGGTGAGAACGCTTACTTATCTACAGAGGGAGCCATAGTTGTCACCCTAGGCAGGATGAAAGATCTCCAGGATTCTGAAAAGGTAACCCTTGCAGTGGGGTCACCCCCGACAGCAAGGGTTAACTCTTCTTTTTACTCCAGGGGTGAAAATAAAGAAGAAATACTCACCCGATCTTCGGTTCTGCAGCAGTGACCGCTCACTTCTCTCCTCCTCCTTCCCTATATACGTGCCATACGGACACGCGAACTGCACATGCGTGAGGGTACGGGTGCATGCACTTGGACGCAGACAGGATCCATCCTGTCTGCGTCCAAGGACGGACGCCCGCACGTATGACACCGTACAGCCACGTCCTCCAATAGGGAAGAACAGGCGGCTGTGTGCAATCACACGCAGCACCTGTCCCTGCCGGGATCGGCTGTTCCCAGGCGTACACGGTGCACGGATGTGTACACTTAGTGTGAATGAGACCTTTAACATGTCTGTCTTTTCATCTCCTTTGCTGGGGGGATGGAACATAATATTGTTTTTGCTTCCGCAAGAGATGACAAGTAGCCTGGAAAAAGAAAACTAATGCAGCCACTACATCTAAGGACTGGTAATCTGCAGTATGTGATGTATTTGTTGAGTGTTTAGATACACTTTAAGCTGAAAATATAGCACAAACATTTTGGCTGTTGCTCATTTTTCATACTTTCAAAGCTAAGAGCACTTATGTGACAATGTATACCGAACTTGCAATCATTCCCACAACCTCCGCTCTTTTAAAAAGGGTATGTTTACCTTTTCACAAAACAATGAACTAACTCACAACACCCGCGGTCCCCCAGAAGAAAGCAGGCTCAGAAGAGATTCCAGTTTTGTCAGTGGGGGTCATGTGACTTGGCTGACCAGTGACTGCTCCCCATTGCCAGCATTATGATGCTACACCGCCTCCAGGACTGCGCGCCCATTACACCGGCTGGTGTGGGAACAACAGCATAGAACCTCATGGAAAGCTATTGCATGACCGGCGCACATAAGGTTGGCAGCAGAATCTAAATAAAGGGCGGAGGTAGCAAGTACAATGGCGAAGGAAGTTTACATGTGGGGTTGGGGCAGCTTTTGGGAAAGGTGAGTGCACTTTGTATGGAAATGCATCTATCCCCCAGACACTGGTATGGAGTGAACTGGCCTGGATGTGGTTTGCTTGGATGTTCACTGAATCCAGCTAACATCTGGGTTCGGGGGACGTTTAAGCAAACCAAAACCAGGGCCACTTGTATCCTAGCAACCAATGATGTGCGACGTGTATTTCCCCAGCCAAGCAGCCGCATGTAATGCATGCAGCCTCCTATAAAAGTCAGCGGCTGTATGTGCGCAGATACATGGACTTGCACAAGCACACACATACTTATGGACATACCACCCCAAACACAGACTGCATTCAGAGTTGTGCATCTGTATGCATGCGTGTGTTTTTACAAGTCCGGTGTATCCCTGCGTACAGCCACGTGCAGCTTTTGACCTCTATAGGAGGCTGTACGCAGCATCTGTGGCTCCATGGCAGAGAAAATAAACCAGAATATACATTGTGTGGCCGCAATCGGCCATTTGCATGAGCCCTATATACTGATTTTCTGTTTCTTTCTGCTGTAGGTCTCATGTCCTTCCACCGGGAACTGCGGGCGCTACGCTACATTCAGAAGGGAGATGTCCTGAGACTGAAGTCATATATTCGCCGGCACCGCCGCCATCTGCAGCTCGACCAGCTTCTGCCAGGGGGACAGAGCCTTCTTCACGCTGCCTGCTTAACACGCGATAATGCCTGCGCTCTACTGCTGCTCCGTAAAGGTGCTGACCCCATGCAGTGCGATGCTGCAGGAAACAACGCTCTGCACGTGGCAGCTCGGGAGATGGAGAAGGGAGAATGGAGAGGTGAGAAGAGCTCCCAATACAATTATTATTATACAGGATTTATATAGCGCCAACAGTGTGCCCAGCGCTTTACAATAGGAAGACATTACAATCGCAATTCAATACAAGATGGTAAGGAGGGCCCTGCCCCTGGGGGCTTACAATCTTAAAGGGAGGGAGAAGTGATACATGAGGAGGTAGCTGTGTGGGGATGAATTGTTTGATCCAACTTAAAGTGTATTTCCACCTTTGCAGTTAAGACAGTATTCAAGTCCGCTAATCTCCCGAGTGTTATGGGTAGCTGGAAGCTGTGCTTCTTCATTATGTATGCAGAAGCTTCCTCTTGTGCACATGTGTTGTTATTTTGTCTTTGCTGTGTAGCGCACCCACTCAGGAGCAGCATACAGTAATGCAACGGGCCTCCCTGTGATGAACCTCAATAATAAACCACCAGCACACCTTGGAATGGGAAATACCTTGTTCCTAGGGTTGGTTGCTACGGTTTACCGAGGCTCGGTAATCTTCATGTCTAAGGTTATTTAGATTCACTTCACCCATTAGCACTTACCACCCTCTATGGTGACCGATGAAAGCGAAGTCCAGACAGTAGGTATGATGCTGAGAAACATTTATTGATGAACTTCTGGGGGAGAGGTTGAGGATCAGGATCATGCAGGCCGTTCACAGCACAAAGAATACCTGGTGCAGTAGTACTGGGGATAGAAGTCACCAGTCATCTTTATCCTTGTTATCAGTAGTAACCACTGGGCCTTCCAGACTCCGGCCTCAGTGTAAGCACATGGCTAGTCCTCAGGCTTCAGGCCTAGCCATCTCAGACAGTCCATAGCATAGCAGCCTCTCCCCCAAGCAGGGCCCGGGGGAGGAAGAGAGAGCTGACATGATCCACCCCAAGTATTTATCTCCTTCCCCAGCATGCACCACTGGCTATTAACCTCCCAGTGATTGGCTAGGGAGACATACATACTCCATAGTGACCTCGCATTGTTTGCTCTGCAGCAGACAGATGCAAACGATGACAGATTGATTAGGGGAAACCAGATGAGCGTAGACTACAACTCAGCATCAGACTGATTACAATCGGAGAATACCTACATTTAATAGCACTCCTTCCTACAGGGCGCTACAGCCACAACAACGCTTCCCTCCTCCTTCTCTTTTGCTTTCAACAGTTCTCAGAGAAATCTCTGCTGATCACCAAAGAAAGGCCTTGGTGATATGTTGCTTTTCCGTTTGCCTGCTAATTGTTTTCTTCCTGCCAGCCATCCTTTTACTGTTATGATTCTGACCTTCTCATCCCCCCATGTTCTCTCCTCAGTGTACACGGACCTGTGCGTTCCAATTCTGAAACGTTGTCCGCAGACGATGGACGTTCCAAACAAGCAAGGGACAACGGCACGTGAAATCCTTCGCCGGGCAGAAGACCTCATGGTAATCTGTTCTCTTTGCCAGGGATACAGAACTGTAGATTGGTCCTAGAAGCATCGGTTTGTTTTTTGGATTTTTAAATTATGAGATTTAATATTCAATTTAGTCTTATGATGAGCCATGCCTCTTTCCACTATGTCCTATGACTGCACCCCTGAGAGACCGCTCCACCTTTGAGGCATAGGCAATAGAAAGATGTAATACATTTCGGATTGACCCACATCCCCCCAGTGACTCTGTCATTCTCAGGAGCACAGATAATGTATCACACAGGGTGAATGTCTGCTCCCAGCTCTGAAATCAACCATGCTGGTTATTGGGGGAGGTGCTTATAGAGCTAAATGGGTATCTGGCAGCACCTCCCTGAAAACCAGCCTGCCTAGGCTGATTTGACTATAGATGAGACTCATCCCCTTGTTTAGTCAGATCTAGAGCTCTCCAGTCAGCAAAGCTCATGCTCCCTGTTTATTGGAGAGCTCTGACTCAGCAGGTGGTGTGTTGGGCTTCTGCAGAGAGACCGCTGCTTCCACACAGCAATAGTCCTTCTGCAGTTTGTTGTCTAGAGTCAGACTTTTAAACTCAGACTATGGCTGCTTTCTATAGAAAAGAAACTCAGACTTAGCACACTTTTTTTTTTTATTCCTCTGGAATGTAAACTGAAAGTTCACTTTGGCTTTAAAGTGAACCTGTGTGAATGGAACTATGGGAGTTGGTCTTTATAACTTGTTTTTTAAGCGGCAAGCTTCAGAGCTGTTGTCTGTATCTTGTATTTACTACTAGGGATAGGCTCAGGTTCGGCCCAAACCCAGTCTGGACCTGAGCTCCCCTGAACAAGGAAGTATATGGCCACATGTCCTTTACCAAATATAGGCATGTAGCTATATAATGACGCTTTGCTTCCGTCAAGGGGAATTCCCTGCCGCAGCTGATTGGACAGCAAGGAAGGAGCTTCCTTTTGTGTTCGGGAGTAGCTCCTTCCAGGTTCGGAAGAACTCTGTTTTGGACTGGGTTTGGTCCGAACCTAAGCTCATCCATATTAACGACTTCATTATTCACTGGCCTAAAGCACACATGCAGCCAGCGAACACTGACTTGCTGCAGGTCATGGAAATTCCTAGGTAGTAAAGCAAGGATCGGGATGACACCCTTGAAGCCTTCACCTCTCTTCATCTCTGTTTCTCCCCAGTGGGGACACAGACTGTAACTAACCCTTTTTTCAGTAAAGAGTTAAAACCTTTGGAAAGTGGTCATTACGGTTTGTGTCCATCTCTCCCAAATCTCTGCAGTGGGGTCACAGCCAGCAATGAAAACTTGACAAATGCCTTTAGTCTCCCAAAGTCTATGCAAAAAAGTGTTTGGCTGGAGTTAGGTTTAAAATACTTCTTTCTGGGTTTACAGGAGAGACATAGCAGGGAACAGCAGACCTCCCCGTTCACGGATCCCTCATCTAAGGAGACATCAGAGTGGAGAGAGAAGCTTTTTGCAGAGGGTATGGATGAATACCAGGAGATCTTTGGGCAATATGATGGTGAGTACAGTGATGGCTCAATAAACATCTGATTAAGGGCTCATTCACACCACAGCAGTGAGCATTGTTGCTCAATGTAGGCCCAAACACAATGACAATTATAAATACATTGCTTTCACTGAGCCCGGTTCATAATGCTGTGTTGGCCAAAAACAGACATTCTGCACTTAAAGTGACACTAAACTCAGGAGTTAAATCTTAAAAATACATTCAAGTACCTGAACTATTAACAAAAATGTATCTTATTTGTGTATCACTCGGCTGAAGATCCTCAAATCATCTCTGAATTGGTGCTGACACTGTCCTTCCTTCTGGAGGGGGGCTACTTGTGTTCCCCATGGTCCCTGTGTGTGTTGTAAAGTAGTCACCGCTCCAAGCTCACTCCCATCATGGACTACAATCTCAAGTTTAGTTTACTAATTTGTAGTGAGAGTGTAGTCCATCACAGGAGCAAGCTCGGAGTGGTGACTACTTTACAACACACACAGGGACTATGGGGAACAAAAGTAGCCCCCCTCCAGAAGGAAGGACAGTGTCAGCACCAATTCAGAGATGATTTGAGG